AGAGAGAGAGAGAGAGAGAGAGAGAGAGAGAGAGAGAGAGAGAGAGAGAGAGAGGGAGGAGAGGAAGGGAAAAAGGGGGAGAGAGAGATATGACGTAAATGATTCTGTCGCTTCGTCGACACGCTGAGCACTTTACGTCTCTGGAAGAGCGTGCTCCTTGTGTCACTAAAGGATTTTATTGACGTAAGAATTGAATTAAGGATCTTTCGAGCCCCCGTTACGAAAAAAAGTCGATTACAAATTGCTCGAGCGACGGAGTCCACGGTATTCAAGTTACTTCCGAACGGCGATTCGGCTTATTGGTGAAAGCGAATGTCGACGATTTGTCGCGATCGCGTTCAAGCTTTAATCGGTCAAGTCGGGTAATGTCACTATCTAATTGTATTAGTCTTCGATCGGATTCGTGTTTCTTGCAATTCACTTTGCACAACAAACGAACGGCTCTGACACTAATTACATTATCTAAACTCATTGTCCGTCTCCTTTCCCATCTCAACTAATTTCACTCCCCGCTTGCAGCTACTCGTTTGCAGTTTGCCACATCCGCGGGTACTATCAGATGTCCTGTAGAAGTGTCCAATGAAATATCATCCTCCGCTACTTAAGGTTCCTGGGTACTCGCAACGTCTATGTCTTTTTAATGATATCAAAAATGAGAAAACATATGCTAAAGATTCTTGCGAAATACGTTGAGATAAAAAGACATCCAGAGAATAATATTTGCAATCGATTAAACATACATCTAAAAAATATTCCATACACTTTTATTCTGACAATAATCATAATTATAAAATTAACATGACAGAATAATAATGAAATCAGGTTAGAAAATAAGATTGCATATCACGTTAATTTTATGATTATTTATTGGTTGTTAGAGCAAAAGAAAGATATTTGGAATATACTAGAGGTATGCTTAATCGATTGCAAGTGTCATTTTGTGAATATATCTGTTAACTCGACGTATTTCGCAAGAATTTTTAGTATTAGTGTTTCCTTGTTTAGGAGCCTTAATATACCAGGTGCACGAAATTAGATAGGCGCGAAATAACGACAAGGAAAGCGTAATTCGAGTCAGGCTAACATTTTATTTGTCATACAACGAGTATTGTAGGATGTGTTGATTGGTTGTCGAATGGAGCACTTAAAATTCCTGACCTTCTCTCTTCGGGGCAGAAATTCTCTATCTGATCGCCAATCGACGCCATCCAGCGAAATACGTCGTACGGCCAATGAAATATCGGTTTTAGAATTATTCTTACCCGTCGGGTACACCAGGATCGTGGGCCTCTTGGAATGCGGAATCGTCGGCATGGTGGGTCGACGAGCCCTCACCTCGGCCGACATTTTCCCTCGTTCTGCAACCGAACGGAAAAAGAGTTCACCTTCGTGCTTCGTGCTTCGCATCTCTCGCGTACATCCCCCTTGTGTGTAGCCGTATAGTAAAAGATCGAAAGTGAAAACCGAGACAGGGAGAGCGTAATTCGAAGATGTGATCGAGGCTACCGCCGCGGGTAGCGAAATATTTCTCGTCGCTGTATTTTAGTCGTAGGCGTAAGTACGGGACGCGGTCAGGCTTGAAATTCAATCGCGATTGCGATGGAGCCGTCAGATAGTGTGTCGCGTCGTCATTTCTGACAAGTGTATCGACGGCTCGTTATATCGAGTGAACGTCCGAAATTTGCGGCCGATATCGAATGACGATAAAGATTTTCTCGTTGGAATAAACGGAGCATGCTCGCCGCTAGGTAGAGAGAGGGAGAGAGAGAAGAGAGAGAAAAGTAAAGGGAGAGAGAGAAGGATAGCAAGAATGGATAGCTGGTAGAAGCCCATGAGCTTCGATCTGAAATGCGCGAGCGACTAGCAAGCGCCGGGAATCAGTTGGCAGTGTTCGCGCTTCGTCGGGGAGGCGAAACCATCCCCGCGGCACATGTAGAGGAATCGAAGCCCACGAAAATTGAATTTCTTCGCGTTCGGTGTGTCGGATTCGCTTGGTTATTCGAGATTCAAATTATTCACCGAGACATCGGATATTCTTCTGTTTAAGCACGTGGCAATATTTGTTTCGGAATATTATTTGTTTCGCGGCACCATCGGCTTGAATTGCCAATTGAATATCCATTTTCTTTATATCCTTATATCCTTTATATCTTTTACTTTTTTTTTCATTTTATTTTAATTAAAAGTACCAAGACACGTACCCAACTCGGGACATTCTTATTATTTTAGTCTTTAAATGCGAATATTTAAACTTCCAATATGAAATATGTACACAGAGAAAAATATTATTCCACTGCTAAGATAAGCGATTATTCCGTTTACTTTGAAATAATGGGCATTCTTATTGCAACTTGCTGTACACAGAAAAATACATACTGTATTGAAGTAAATGTTTCAAGTATTTCATAAATATATCATTATAAAAAGCATAACATTTGTTTAGAATATATTTTGAATTCTAGTAGCTGAATTCGAGTTTTCTACATGAATTCTAGCTTTAGTATTTTAATCAAGAATATTAAATTAAAGGAAAAGTTCGGCTTTCTACATAGAATCACACCAATACATACTTTGCATTTTATAAAGTTTTATAATATTTTTGCAAAGAGAATACATTCTTCTTTTGAATTTATATGACAATAAACTTTTTTCAAATGCGTATATTTTAAGGCTCTCTTCAAGAAAATATTTTTTGAAAATAACTATCGTTTAAAAAAAGACAATAAACTGAATAATTGCTTTTCTTAGAAAGAGTAGAATGATATTTTTTTCTATGTATAGAATTCAGAATGTATTTTGAATAAATTTGATACTTACAATGAATTTTTCGTAAATTTGCAGATATATGATTATGAACTTGTGAAGTACTTGAAATTAACAACATTTGCTTGAATGCAATATGTAGTTTTCTGTGTATATACATATATTAAATATATATGTATATTTTATGTTGAAAGTTTAAATATTCGTATTTAAAGGCCAAAACAATAAGAATGTTCAAAATTAGAATTAGTATATGTTTAGATTTGATTTCATCCTCCGCATATAATCCTACTTTTTAAGACATACAGTACAATCTGGCCTGTTAGATCCGCGAACTAACTTTGTTGCGAATCAATACTTTTGGACATATTTTTTTTACGAAGATATAGAAAACCCTACAAGATAGTAGCATAATAAAATGGTAATCTGCAAGTAAATTTGCGCTATTTCGAAATTTCCTTACAGCTCACCTTTCGGCAGCTTTCCCTTTGGGAAACTTACTAATCGATTGAATATTCGTTCGGGTCTCTCAGACCCAACGCGGATGGTTAATAAACATTATAATTCCAGACGCGTCGCGTCGAGATAATGGTCACCTGACGCGCGTGTCATACGCAAACTTCGATATACTAGCTTCGTCATTATCATTTCTCTCATTAACAGTACATGTTCCCAAGCGGACGACATAAAATATGGTTTCTTCATACACATACAGACAGTGTATAATTCTGGGTCACCTACGTATCTCTCTCGTAGTGACGCTAAATATTCAAAGAATAAATATTCATCTTAATGAAATCGTGTCAAGGACTGGTTCGTTTAGAATGTGCGAGTTTTCCGGCTCTGCTTTTATTTTCGCGATTATTCCGGCAAGAAATGTTGATTTCGGATGGAATTACGCAAACGCCACATAAATATTCGCGAAAGGGAGCAGGAGCTCTGAACGAAAAATACGATATTACTCGAGTCTCAAGCGAAAGTTTTCGTCGGGGTATTCCTTTCGCGAACAAATCTCTAACGCTTCCCCGGAACTTACGTTACGAAAATGTATTCCGGGCCCTCTTTAAGATCGCATTTGCTCCTATTGAACCCGTCGTGGAATTGCGCGGCTCGTGTGCGCTATTATAATATCTAATGCGACCAACTGTAGCTAGATTGTCGTCGATAGCGACGGCGGCGCGCGCCAAAATCCAGGCGCAATAATATGCGGAGCATAGACGATCGGAAATTTGCGATATCGTTGGACGTCAGAGGCAGATAATGCGGAATAATACGCGCGTGTAAAGGTAGCAACCTGTCCAGTTGGTGCAGTTAGGGCTTAATACGAATTAGAGGCGGTTAATCTGCTGCGGCAGAGACCGCGGGATTCTGGAATCGATTCTGTCGAACGAGTTTAGTTACGATACCGTCGCGCGCGTTATCGATCAACGTGCGCGCCGATTCATGGGTTTAAATTTCGACGTCTCTTTAAATTAACGTATTCCGATGAATCAAAGTATGTAATATGTCAGGGTGTCCCGCGTGGGCTGCAATTGTTCGACTGCACTTTACAGTGCGTCCGGAAGCTTTATCTCATAGGCCTCTTTAACCCTTTGAGCCCTGGTGGAGTGTTCCACGTATCTCTTTCACATTTCTAGTGATTTTAACTAACTTATCGGCAGGCACAGTTATATTATTACTGTACATACACATGAATATAAGGAACTAAAAATAAGTAGAAAATAGTTTGAACATTTAATTATTACATCATTATAAGCAAATAAAAATAAAGAAACAGGCATTTATTCAGACAGAAACTATTTTAACGTTAATTATTAGGAATCGACATATCGAAACATTAGCAGTCTATTTGGAACAATTGACAGAATTTTACATTTTTTTTTTTTTCAAAATGTTATGTAAGCCCTATTTCTTGCGATAAATTATTGAAATATTGATAATATATTTAACTAACAGTAAGATTTGAAAAGGCACATAAGGAGCAAGCACGGACGTCTTAGTGCTATTAAATACTAATATTACTTTTTAATATTAATATGTAATATTAGTATTTAATAGCACTAAAACATCCGTGCTTGCTCCTTATGTGCCTTTTCAAATCTTACTGTTAGTTAATCTATTCGAGGAGCTTTCGATAATATATTTGTTGCAAGTTCCTTGTCAAGATCGCAAATACCTTTCTTTCATTTCGAAAAAATCATTGTCGTTATTCCCGGACAATGCTAAAAGTAAGATTGCTAATTTTGAAAACTTATTGTTTTATATTGTTTGCCATATTGGACGCACCATTTGGAATTTCAGACTTTTGAACTTCAGTTTGTAATCAGCGAATCTCCAAATTTGAAACCAAATTTACCAAATATGCTAAAGTTGAAGAAACTTCATTGAGAAATAAATTTATGACTCAAATGGTTAATTCGCTATGTGTGATAGATAAGGCTCTCATTAGTCCGCGATATCGATCACGGTATGTCATATATCTCTCCCATCTGACCGGTTTTGCCTGCTTTTTATCAGGCAACCCCCTTATTATCCTTACGGCGGCTTGTCGAATATTGCCGCCATAAATCGTTCGAAGCTGTGTACGCTGCTTTGAGCCTGAAGGAACGTTAACTGCGAACAACGATGGCGAAGGGCTCAAACGAGAAGAGCGCCGTTATCGTATCTCGAGGTATTAACCTTGGAGTCGCGTGAAGATTTTTTTACACCTAAGGGAGAATTTACCGTTCGTTAGCTTAATCTGCGCGGTATTACGCAGCGCGCTGAAGTTAGGGAAAAAAGAGATCCTCGTCCCCAAATGGAGGAGCAAGATTAGCAACAGCTTTAATTATGAGAAGACACAAAGAATAGCGTTCGTGTGCCAACTGCGAGATCAGATATTTTAAAGTTTACTCGTAAAATTTAGGACGATGAATTTGTTCGGGGGGATTTATTAGGAAAAAATATTTTTTTAACGCAATAGTAATTTTATAAAGCAGCAAAGATGTGTTTCAATATCTGAAGAGGAGGGCTTGATGGAATATAGGCAGCTTAGTATATTTGACTTCACGTATCGCGAAGAGTATACTCGTTTACGTTTCTAATTTTATTAAAAGAAATGTGTTCAAACAGAATACGTGCAGAGTAAAACACTCAAGTATTGACGTCCCCTTCTAGTCACTAACACTCTAGAAAAAATCTGGACTTTTATGCGAGCAGCATTGTAGTTAAACTTCTTACCTGCGCTCAGTGATTCTAAACGAAAAACTTCACAACTAAAACTGTGAACAACTTCCATTGGTCGCAAGAGAAACCAGACTTTTCCAGATTATCAGTGACTGAGAGGGATTAATAATGTAGTGTTTTGCTATACCAAGTTTCGAGTTGATTTGGAAAAAAGAAAGGAAACAATAAAAAAGTTCCATCGCGACCTGATAGTTGCGATATGTATAAGGAATTCATCGGGTTAATAGAATAGTGAAGAATGTCGAAAGGTATTGGCGCTGTTTCAGATATCGACGGCGCTCTCGCGCCGTCAAGCTAGATAGATCGTTCCATTAAGTCTTAGCTACCTAGCAGAGGCAGAGAGAAAGAGAGAGAGAGAGGAGGGAAGCAT